AATTTATTCAAATCAGGACCTCATTTGCATAATTTATTAGGAAATGCTAGAATGCATTGTTTGTTAATATAAGACTGTTGTTTTGGTTGAGATTATGATAAAATGATATAATTCATGAAAATTAGGTTCCTATTTCTTAAATCAGGGGGGAATAATCTAATCTATAATTTGTCAGTCATAAAGATTAACATCATTTGGCGAAGGTATGAGATCGGGGAACTCTAGTTATGAATTATATCATTTTATCATATTCTCAACCAAAAGACAGTCTTATATCAACAAACAATGCCATTCTAGCATTTTCTAATGAATTATGCAAATGGGGTCCTAATTTGAATACATTATGTTTAATGATGTTCACCTTCACTTATCTTTCAAATACCACAAGTATGAAATTCCAGGCACTTATCATTACATAATTATGAAATTTGCTCATTAATTATGCAAATTAGGTCTTCATTTACATAATCAATATCTGCTTGTGTTTCTCTCGTTCTCAATTACCGATTTCACAAGCTTCAATAGTCCTATCATGGAATACAGCTGATTTATAGAATTTCCCCATAAATTATGCAAATTACATCCATATTTGCATAATTGTCACATAATTATACCAAGCATCACGTAAGCTACCTACATACCAAAAATCACTATTATCCGTCAACCGGTTCTTGAGTTATCCTCTTTTGAATATTTTCAAACATATAGCCCTGCAGTTCCAGAGCAAGTTGCTAGGAGGCCCAAACTTACGTCACTTCTTTCCCAGCACAAGAGCTACCTACCAACTAAATTTCGTCACCCTAGCATGTCTAGATCATGAGATATGAAAACCGGGAGTTCAGCTGCAGTACCATAACAAGATACTAGGGGGTCCAAAATCTAATCATTTTGAGGCCTCATCAAGACCTACTCACCTACCAAGTATCAAGACAATCCCTCAAGGCCTACTCAAGTTATCGTGTTTACAGACAGACACACACACACACACACACACACACACACACACATACACGAACGCCTCTGAAAACATAACCTTCTTGGCGAAGGTAAATATCTGTAATGTATTTTTGTTTTCGTGATTTTTTTCTTCAGAAAACTGAGAAAATATTTGACGTACTTTGAGCTGTAAAGGGTTACATGTTCTATCATGGCTTTCCGCAGCTGCTGTGTTACGCCGAGGGCTGTTATACCGATACAGGTACAGATACAGATCATACAATCCTCAGTTTCCAAAATTCCACCATTTGTCTACCTCTAAGTCCTCCTGGTCAGATTCTGGGACCCTTATATTCACCCCCTTTGTTGTGGCTACCCTTTTGTCCGCCTTCATCATGGGCAAACATACATCTAAACCCACAGAAAATTGTAGTCTCCTTTGCAGACATTCCGGGATCGGTCGTGTTTTTTTTTGGGGGGGGGGCTGTGTTCTCTGATCAAACTTAGATCGCACGCAATAGAAGCTCCGGCCAGATACAGATACAGATACAGATACAGATCATACAATCCTTACTTTCCAGACTTGGCATGTCAAATTTTTTGTCCGCCATGAGCCGTATTATAATAAATAAGAGTTCCACGATCTCATACCTTCGACATAAATGTTAACTCTCCGGTTGACGAATTATACAATTTTAATCATTGATTTCCCAAATACATGTAAAAGCGTCATTTGCATGGATTACATCAGTTGATCATATTCTCCACCCAATGACAGCCTTATCTTAACAAAATAGGCTATTGTAGCACTTCTTCATAAATTATGCAAATGAGGTCATGATGTGAATAAATTATCTTCATTGATGTTCACCTTCACTTAACTTCCAAATGCGGCAAGTATGAAATTCCTAGCAATTACAACTATGAAATGATAACAATTTCCATTAATTATGCAAATTAGGTCTTCATTTACATAATCTATATCCTCAGATGTTTTTTTGGTTCTCAATTACATGTCACAAGTGTTTCAGTCCTATTATCGAACGAAGCAGATTTATAGAATTTCCTCATTAATTATGCAAATTAGCTCCTGATTTGCATAATTGTCATCTGATTATGTCAAGCATCACCTCAGCTACCTACATACCAAAATCATGACAATCCGTCAACCGGTTCTTGAGTTATCCACCTTCGGAGATTTTGCAAGAAACGCTCCTGCAGTTCCAAAACAAGCTGCTAGGGGGCCCAAACTCATGTCTCTTCTTCCCTACCCCAAGAGCTATCTATGAACCAAAATACGTGACCCTAGTATGTCGAGATCGCAAGATATCAAAACCGGAAGTTCTGCTGCAGTACCAACAAAAGCCACCAGGGGGCCCAAAATCTAATCATTTCTCACATCATTTCTAGGTCTCATCAAGACCTACCCACATACCAAGTTACATGACAATCCATATTAAGCTTCTTGAGTTATGCTGTTCACAAACAGACAGACAAACGGACAGACGGACAAACGCTGCTGAAAACATAACGTTAACCTTCTTGGCGAAGGTAACGTTATGAGATCATGGATGTATTCCACTAGAGGGGACAGCTACATCATTCGTAAGGATATGAATGGGGGATCTGACTTGTCCTACGTGCAAGCCTGCCCAGGTAGACAGCTAGCTGGATAGCCAGGCCAGGCCAGGCCAGGCCAGGCCGAGCCTAGCACACATCATTTTCCGTAAACCCGGCATGGACTAGTACATTTAGCGTTGGTTGGTAGTGACGTTATGGCCATGGTGAATCTTAACGTTTTCATATCTTTTTCTTCTTCTTCTCGTGTCCAGCTAAGTTGAAGTTGCTCAGTTGAAGTTCTGAAGGTATCCTTGGCAAGATTAATAGAGTAGTCACGGTATGAATCTACCATTACGATCTAGACTAGACTCGGCTTTTTGGGTATTTGTGGGACGGGGGGAGGGGGGCTCTCTCCCCCTTCATTAACTCGTGAACGGCATAGCGTATGACCGCCAGACCACCAAATTTTCAGAGAGAGGATGCTTGTCTAGTAATGATAAATCATACCAATAATTTTTATGTCATTATGAAGTAATTTGACGTCGTCGATGTGATTTTATTGACTAAATTTACCGTATAACGTTAGACAGGTCACAACTTACTAGTATTCTCATAACGAAAGACCGGGTATAAAAATTTTACAAAAAGTGTGTAGACCCAAGATATGTTACCCATAACTTATCTTGCGATATCATGCATACCTATATTTAAGCTATCAGCGATTTTCTACTTATAGAGGTACTAGTAACATGTCGTTTAATACAGCTTGAAAATCCAATGGGAGTGGACGTTCATAAGAATGTTTTATGGGGTTGTTGGAAAAAGGAGTCCAGTCCGATTGGCGGAAAAAGCAGTCCAGTCCGATTTTGGGGTGGAAAAAGTACTCATAGAAACTCGAAGTACCCATAGAAACTAGAAGTACAGACACAAGAAAGAAAAAGTTGTACCTATGGTCTTTCGTAGAATTTCGTAGAAACCACCGGACTGCTTTTTCCACCCCAAAATCGGACTGGACTGCTTTTTCCGCCAATCAGACTGGACTCCTTTTTCCACTAACCCTGTTTTATTTGATAGATATGGATTAGTGATGAAATATGTATATAATGATATTGTCTGCCATCTTGGATTTTTGGCAGATGATAATCAAATCAGCATGATTTATTTATTTTCATTCATGAAATTACATAAAATCACATAAAATGCCATTAATGTTAGCATGTGTAACTATAAAGTAACATAGAGATCTGAAAAGTTTATTTTTGCAAGTTGCAACAGAAATTAAATTAATGAGTTTTTTTCCAAATTTTGCCATGGAAACATGAAAAATTCTTTAGTCAACTGAATAATATGAAATTGTTGCCAGGTATATTTTAGAAAAAGCATGGAGGTAGAAGAGAAGATCTTAAACGTTACCTCCATGGAAAAAGTCACCAAGTTTGGTATTTCTGTATCTGTATAGCCGGTAATAACCGCCCTTCGGCGTAACACACCAGCTCCGCAGGCACGCGGTGCGGCGGCAGCTGGCTATATTACACCGATCGACTTGTTACACCTAACCCTTGAACTTCTAGCTCTAGACATTGTTTAAAGCTATCTATTGACAATGCCCCTACTGTACTTGGTGACAGCGAGTTCCACTCTGCGATAGTTCTAGGAAAGAATGAATTCTTGAACACCTCAATCCTTAATTGGTTGATAAGTCTGGTACTTGAAGGCGTGGATATTTCTTGTTCTCTTCTGGGCTGGTATTAGGTACTTAGTAGTTGGGACGTCCACCAGTTTATTTGATGTTGTTGATATTATCTATAAATTATTTTCTTATTTACTCGTCCTACAAGAGATGAAGGTGCTGTTTCTCGCTGGGGGGTATGGAACCAGACTGGAGAGAGACGTCCTGGCCAACCAATCAGGGAAGTTCCATCACCTGAGGGGCGTGGCCAAACCGCTGGTACCTGTCGGTGGCCGTCCGCTCATCTCTCATTGGATGGACATCCTGACCAAACTTCACAAAGTGGAAGAGTTTTATGTGGTGGTAAGAAATCACTGGAAATGAACGTGGTGACCAATGGGGACAATCAATTTTAGAAATCAAGTTGAAGTTAGCCTATGTAACCCAAGCTCCGGGGGGCTCCCTACATAGTCCGCCGGGGCCGGCTGGATGTTGGGCGGCCGGCAAAAGCGATTTAATCAGGCTAAGTTGAAGTGATCCTCCAGAATATGAGTGATACGGCATAACCATTAATTGCTATGGGTAGTGCTGTGTACCTAAACCCACATTTAGGTTCAGGTCTGGATTCAAGTCCACAGGTTTAGGTTCAGTTCTGGACTCATAAGTCCGGACCTTAACCCATGGCATATACAAAATTGCATGTTGGCAACCTTGCAATGTTGTTTGGGCAAAACTGTGGCCACATAACATGGAGGTCGACACTTGCATGACGATGCCCGATGGCAATGTTTTCTTCATTTTGCAGCACAAATTTTGCAATCTATGGAAGGTTTTATGTGATTTGGAAAGAAAAGGGGTATGTGACATGTTTTTTTTTTTTTTCAATAAGGCCACACCGCCTTAATTTTATGGATGATATCAGTGCTCGCATTGATTTTCGCCAGTGTTCTCAAAAAAAAAAAGATCACGTCCACCAAGGTTCTGGCCTTGCTCTAGGCCCGGGTAGTCCATGGAAGCTGGCAACAATACAGAGCCGGGCACCCAGGCTACCGATGCTCCACGACTCAATAACTTAGCACGTACGTACAGTACCGATTCATAAATTTCGCAAAAAGCCAGCATGTGCAGGCTTGTCGTGTATGTCGCTAAGTCGTACTGCAGCAAATTCCTGTGGTTTAGTGGTATTTTATTTTGGCCGGTAATTTTTTTTATTTTGTCCCGCGTCGCACTAGTTTGGTAGGACTTCAGAAGATGTCACCCATAAAATTAAGTCGGTTTGGCCTAAGTCTGCAATCGGTTCCTTTGGACTTGAACCTAGACATTTTTATGAGTTCGGAACTGGTCCAGCAAACCGGTACACAGCACTAGCCATGGCCAAGGCAACAAGTAGTACTAGGCAAAAAGCCCAGTACATGGACTGGTGCAGGTAGACATCAGAAATACCTGCACATCCTTGCACATCCCCAAGTTTATATATACCTGCATTAAGGTGCATATGCACCCAGTATTTCAAGCCCTGTTGTAGCAATTGGTTGTAGTAAACTTGATTATCCCTTGATACTCCATGTATTTAATTTCCAGACAAATGAGAAGTATGTGGCACAGTTTGAAGCCTGGGCCCAGGCCTGGCCAAACCTGCAGATTGTCAGTGATGGAACCACAGACAACGAGGTGAGATGAGAGCTATGTTAGTATGTCATCAGGCATATCTTACTGTACAGTTTAATGGGGGCCCGCATGCCCTTTTCCGTAGAGCGTAATCTGCTGTTTTAATTCTACGTAGAGCATAGATGGGCCGCTTTAATTCAACGTAGAGTGTAATTGGGGCATTTTGCGTAGAGCGTATTCGCCGTTTTAATTCCACGTAATGTGGTGTAGCCACTTGGAATTTAACGTAAAAAAGCGTAATTGAGAGGTTTCCTGAATTCAGCGTAATACGTAGCCAGCTCTCAAAATTTAGCGTAGAGCGTTGTTGGACACCCCCCCCCCCATGCAGGCCTCCTTTAAATTTTAATTCTATCAATCAACTGAAGCACTACATAACATTTGTACAATATTTCTACCAAAGTTCCTCCAAATGATAATCCATGAATGCCTCTGAACGCACACATTTGGACATGTAGATAATGTACCATTTTGATTAAATGTGTGAATCTTTAAAAACTAAATCTGATTTTTCTCCTTTTTGCAGACGAGAATTGGAGCAGTAAGGTCTATACAACTAGGGGTGCAACATTTCCAAATAACAGACGACTTGTTGGTAATAGGAGGGTCAGTTCTCTTCCTGTTTTTTCAATAACCATTGATAGGAACAGTGTATGTAAGTCAAAGTTAATGCACTTGCAGTTAATTTCTGACAGAGCTCGAAATTCAGTTCTGGGAATAGATGCACTGGTGCACCCAACTTAAAAAAACTGGGTGCACAAAAAATTGTTTGGGTCCATCATATAGAATTTTAGCAAAAACTAATTATGTTTCATTTCTAAAGGAAAATACTACAACAAGGATTTTCTTGTTTTTCTGACACTTACATGTCAACAATATGCTGTATTACTACAACAGTAGTATACATTTAACATCTTTACACAGAAAATATTTGGGTTCACAGGTCCAAATTTGGGTGCACTAAGATGCACATGCACGCAGTATTTTGAGCCCTGGCTGGTATATCAGAGCACGTCGGCAGAACGTACTGCACCTGCGCAGAATCCCGATTTTTCACGGTTTTCGTTGGATTTTTGGTCAACGTTGCATTAGAATTATGCTTGTTGCAGACAATATTTTTTCCGACATAACATTTGGAAACTACAGACGGAGTGTTAACCTTATATGCGCGAATACAACCTTATATGGGACATTCCGCGGAAGTGCTATGCGCATATACATTACGGATTTCGCGCAGGTGCAGTACGTTCTGCCGATGTGCTGCATATCAGTATTTTGAATTGTGGCATTCCCACAATGGTACTAGACTCCACTATTAGTATTACTGTAGAGGGTAAGACCAAAGTAGGAAGTGCCAAATGTAGGAGAAATCTGTATGCATCAAGTTGCACACATTTCTTGTTGCACACAGATGTTTTGAGGCAATTGTTGACATTCTGACAAACATGAAATGGATGTCCCTAGACATATTATCTTGGGTGCCATCCTATTTGTTTATCGGGACTTCAGTTTTTCAATTCACAGCATATCAGCTATCCAGTGGAAACTTAACAAAGCTATCTTTGCAAAGAATGTCATAGATTTTTTTCAACATACATGTACATGTAACATCCGTGCCCATAATATCACCAGGGTCCATAATATCGCCACCTTGAGAAACAGTGTGCTTTAAGATATTTTTACTGCAACATACTTTTGGTATGCACTCCTGCACACCCCAAATGTACATACCTAGGGTATGTTGCAGTAAAAATATCTTTAAGCACACTTTTTCTCAAGGTGGTGATATTATGGACTATGGTGATATTATGGACACAGATGTTACATGTTTTTTATATCACAAGTCTAAACCTGTTCATATTTCTTCCAGAGATACACTATTTTATGAAGATTTCGACATCCAAAACTTTTTAGAAGCATTCAACGAGCTACAAAATAAGACAAAAGATGCCTGTTTGGTCACATGCTACAATTGTGCTGAACATGGTAAGTACTAAGTACATTTAACACTTTGGCCTTATTGATTTGTTTGTGTGCATGAATATTTGTTTCGAAGAAAAAACTTTTTGCCTATACTGTACATGATACAGAGCAGTTGCAAAATGGGTAAATATATACCATACTGATTAATTGCACAAAAAAATCATTGGAAAATGATACTATCGGTAATATCATAGAATGTTAAAATCAATTCCAAAGGAAAAGAAGAAACTGTACATGTGGAGACGTGAAAATGACCAGTCTATTAATTGCCATTTTATGTACAGTCAAACCTGCCTATAGTGGTCACTCAAGGGACTGGCCAAATCTGACCACTATGGCCAGGTGACCACTATAGAGAAACAGCCGGTTAGTTGCCCCAAGGAGGTTTAAAAAGACCTCCTTGGTTGCCCCCCCCCCAAAAAAAAAGTGACACATGCTTTCAGTACCAACAGAAAGTAGTCATTTGTTCAACCTTCATGACCACAGAGATTGTAAACAACTTTTTTTTTAATTACATGCTCGTGTAAGTTTTGGAATTCCCTCTGAGGATTTCATATTAATCAAATCAAGATGGACTTATTAATTAAGAGATATCTTCCGTATTGGGCTGAATTCATACAAATGTATTTCTACTTTTTACTTTAACTTACTTAATCAGCTTTATCATCTGTAGTAGAAAAAGTCACGGTTTGCTCTTAATATCATTTACTTCCTATCATTTTTTTTGGCCTTGGTTTCTATAGAAACAGTTAAGTTTGGAATTCTGGAGGTGGATGAGCGAGACGTAGTGACAGGATTCAGAGAGAAACCCCAGCCAGAGGAGACCGTGTCAAGACGGGCGGTAACTATGACATCATGACTTCTCCTCGTTTATTACCTTTACCAAGAAGGTTATGTTTTCAGAGCGTTTGTCCGTCTGTCTGTTTATATAGCATAACTCAAGAAGCTTAATATGCATTGTCATGAAACTTGGTAGGTTGGTAGGTCTTAAAGAGACCTAGAAATGGTTAGATTTTGGGCCCCTTGGCAGCTTTTGTTGGTACTGCAGCAGAACTTCCGGTTTTGATATCTCATGATCTGGACATGCTAGGGTCACAAATTTTGGTTGGTAGATAGCTCTTGGAGTAGGGAAGAAGTGACATGAGTTTGGGCCCCCTAGCACCTTGTTCTGGAACTGCAGGAGCGTTTCTTGAAAAATCTCCGAAGGTGGATAACTCAAGAACCGGTTGACGGATTATTTTGGTATGTAGGTAGCTGAAGGGATGCTTGACATACTGTAATCAGATGACAATTATGCAAATCAGGAGCTAATTTGCATAATTAATGAGGAAATTCTATAAATCTGCTTCGTTTGATAATAGGACTATGAAATAGGAACTCTTGTTAACATTTGTTTAAAGTTAAAACTTTTAATCCAACACAAAGAATGGTTCTCACCTAGAGCTTTTGACCAGTCATTCTGGACTTCCTCAGTAGACTGAAACAGTGAGGCTTGTCATGTGGCTTCTCTGCCTGAAGTACGACGTCAACACCAGGTCAAAGGTAAACAATAGTACCGGTACAAGGCAATTGTTTACCAGATACCTTTAACCGATTGTCAGTCAACTGAGGAAGACCAGAGTGACTGGTCGAAAGCTCTAGGTGAGAGCCATTCTTTGTGTTTGATCAAAATTTGTAACTCTAAATATGTAACTATCAACAGAGATGAACTTTCATGATAAGGCCATACCAATTTAATTTCTTGCTTCTCAGATCGCCCTGTCCATTTTTTTCTGATTTGCAAAAAATAAAAAAAAGGTTTGGTGCTAATATTGATTGCAAAATGCTCAATGAAAGACATATTTCTGCCCAAATGGTTGAAGAAAGTCCTTGTCTTCCTAGTTCTTAAAGTTTTTCAATGTAGCAATGCAATTTTGTTTCATTAAAAGTTCAAAATCTATTGTAACAGTTTTAATTATAAATCAGCCTGGTATGTTCACTTCATGGCTCATATCGTAACATTTCCGGCTATAATGGGGTGCTTTGGCCTGTTTTTTTTTTAATTTTTATTTCGCCCTGTTACTTCATATTTTTTCTGAAAAAATCTGAGAAACAACAAATTAAATTGGTGTGGCCTACTAGTAACATAACATTTGGCACAATATAGCTTAGTGCATGACACTGAATCTGTGGAAGAGTTTTTCTAGTGATCATCAGATTTTGTTAACTATTTCTGCAGTGTCCCTGTTTCTACCTGTATAGCCGCAACAGCCTCCCTCTACTGCAGGAATTCATATCTGAAAAGGTGAGGATTGAAAGAAAATTTATCAGTTGTTACAAGTTTGTTTGTATTATCATTTTTGTTAGTTACAAATGTAACTTGCTTGCTCGTTTTCGTTTTAATTAGTTGTGGGGAAGGCCTTGGTTAGACCACTGTTCTTGTATGGCTTACTTGGTATTCGTTTTTTTATTTAGGCCACACCAATTTAATTTGTTGGTTCTCGGATTTTTTGGAAAAAGATGAAGTGACAGGGCGAAAAAAACAAACAGGTCTAGGCATCCTATTATAGCCCCAAATGCTACGATAGCAGCCATGAAGTCAACACATTATTAAGAAAGGCTAATCAGTTAATATTTAAATTAATTTTGAACTTTTAATCAAACCACTGCAATGATAGATGGAAAAATGACAACGAGGAAGAAAAGGACTTTCCTCAACAGTTGGGGGCAAAATATGAGCATATACATGTATGAGTTGATTCAGAACCAGAATCTTTTTTTTTTTGCAAATCATAAAAAAAATGAAGAGGCGAGTCCAAGAACCAACAAATTAAATTGGTGTGGCCTTACATGCAAAATAAAGAAAACAATACAAAAAGTTGCTGCTGCAAATTGAAGTTCAAAACTGTGTAGGAGTTTTCAGGAGACAATAGACATGATACATGTAACTTTAGCTTGTAATTTCTACTTTTTTGCAGGATCGTCCCTTCAAAGAGATAGATGCGACAGGCTGCTTTCTTCAATACGTGCACACGAGGTAGGATTGCTATTTTGGAAAAGCAGAGGACAAAATTGGAACAAAATTGGCAGGCAAAACTAATATCAAGTTCTGTATCTGCATAGCAATCTTGAGTATAACCGCCCTTTGGCTAAACACACCAGCTTGTTGGCTAATTAATCAAAATGTCTTAGCGTTTAATTCATCTGTCCAAATTTGAATCTTTTATCTACAATTAGTGATGCATACCGGTTCACTGGACTTGGATCCGGACTTGTAAGAATGTTTAGGTTCAAGTCCAAAAAAACCTAAAAGTCAGGAACCGAGTCCGGACTTATTACCATAAAAGACCATTTCACATATCCCTTTTCTTTCCAAACCACCTAAAACCTTCCGTAGATTGCAAAATCTTTGCTGCAAAATGAAGAAAACAATGCCATCGGGCATCGTCAAGTACCGGCCTCCATGTTATGTGGCCAAAGTTTCACCCAGACAACATTGCAAGGTTGCCAACATGCAATTTTGTATATGCCATGGGTATAGGTCCGGACTTACAAGTCCGGAACTGAACCTAAACCTCTGGACTTGAACACACTATCTACAATACAGTACATGTATGTTTTTGTCCGTTGTGCAGGAAACCAGTTTCCGTGTACAAGATATCCGGAAGGTTTGATGTGGGAGGACTTCAGTCTTACATTGTTTGCGACCAGTACTTCATGCAAAAGAAAGGGCTGTAATCTTATTATATTCATCTATACATGCCCGTAGCCAGGATTTTGAATGGGGGGGCTCTTCCCACTACTTGAGGGGACCTCGAGCGCGGTAGGAGCAAGGCGAGCGCCAAAGGCGCGAGGTTCCTGGGGGGGTCGGGGTGCATGCTCCCCCGGAAAATTTTGAAAAATGAACCTTCTAAAATGACATTTCGTGCATTTTTGAGAGGATTTCCAAGAAAAAAATCTGAGATAAATTTTTATTCAATGACAAAGGGAGCAGTTTTTCTACGATTCCAATCCATCATTTCAAGAAAAATCTTGGACCTTTACATAAAAAGTGGACCAAAAAGTGGACCTTTACATAAAAAGTGGACCTTTGAGCCTTGTGGGGGGGTTCTTCCTGGCTACGGGCATGCTATAGTATAGACTATACTTGGATAGGCTATACATTTCTTCATGCTGTGTTGGATATAGATGCAGGGCTCTAGCCAGCACTAGTCTACCTTTGTGGCGTTTGACGGGAAAATGTTTAAACCAATCAGTCAACCTTGATGGACAAGATTGACAAAAATTTTGAGTCAAAATAGGAAGATATTCAATGAGACTAACAATGACCACTCTCAACCCCATGATTCGCCTCTGAAAGTAAGGAAAACCATGTTTTTAAGGCTTGAAAATACATTTGTTCCCAGATCCCCCCCTAGATTGCGAGAACTCTCCCCCCAGGTCCAATCATGAACCTGGGCTGACGGAAAGAAGACTTTGAGCCATGAACATGTAGTAGAAGTATTTTTCAATTCAATCACATTGTACTGGTAAGAAAAATTGATTCAAGGATAGTTTGATACAGGATTTGTAGCTTTTCAGCTAAATAAGATTATATTTTTTTTAGAATTTCTTTGAGAGCAGTTCTTGTGAATGAAATAAATGAGTAATAAATTATCTGGATACTTACATGGAGAAGTTGAGTTACAGAACAACCCATATTTCTCACAGTATCTGTTAGGCCACACCAATTTAATTTCTTGTTGGTTAACGGATTTTTCTAGAAAAATAATGGAGCGGGCGGGAAAAAAAAAATAAAACAGGCCTAGGCATCCTATTATGGCCCAAAATGGTACGATAGCAGCCAAGAAGTCAACACACCAGGCAGGTTCAAAATTTAAACAATGAATTTTGAACTTTTAATGATACCATGGCATTGAAAGATGGAATAACTGTAACAACTAGGAAGAAAAGGACTGTTTTCAACTGTTCAGGGCAAAATATGAGCATTTTGCAGTTGATTCAAAATTTTTATTTTTATTTGCAAATCAGAAAAAAATGAAGCGGGCGAATCTGTTAACCAAGTCGAGATTAAATTGGTTTGGCCTTAGTACATAAAAATAAAAGATTGAACTGGTCAGTTAAAGTTTAGCACACATTGTTAGACATCTACTAAAAAAATCAAAGCCAGGCTGGGGCTGTCATGTTCTCCATACATGTCCATGATCTATTCAATAAATTTAAAGTTAGGCCAATTTAATTTGCTGTTTCTCGGCTTCACCCTGTCCATTTTTTTGCTGATTTGAAAAAAAAATTAAAAATTAGGTTCTAAATCAACTGCAAAATAAGACATATTTTGGCTCTCACAGTTGAAGAAAGTCCCCTTCTTCCTAGTTGTTAAAGTTTTTCAATGTAACAATGCAGCTTTGTTTCATTTAAACTTCAAAATATATTGTTTTAATTATAAACCAGCCTGGTATGTGGACTTCATAGCATAGCTCATATTGTACCATTTCCGGCTATCATGGGGTGCCTTGGCCTGTTTTTTTATTTCGCCCTGTCCCTTCATATTTTTTCTGAAAAAAATCCAAGAAGCAACAAATTTAATTGGTGTGGCCTTAAGAAAATTTTTCCTTCAACATTGCCTTGTCTCACTTTCCACATACTAGTACTACTTAGGCCATGTTCATTTGATTATATGGATGACATCCGCGCGCGCATGAATTTTCGGCCGTTTCCAAAAAAAAAGTTTTCAACCATACTGTACATCGTGCAAAACAGTTGCTAAATGAGCAAAAATATACCATAAGTTGTAAGGAAAACATTTAGAAATGATACCAATGTCGTAGAATGCCAAAATCAAAGGAAAAAAGACAAAAATGTAAAGAAATGAATTCGAAGAGTAGATTATTCGCCATAACATATTCTGTGCCATTTGTTCAACCTTCATGACCACGTACATTTCATAGTGAAAGCATCTTAATTTTTTTTCAAAACTTTTTTTTTATTCGCACGTGCGCATCAGTTTTGGGGTTCCCGGAGGATGTCATCCATATAATCAAATCGACATGGCCTTAGGTAGTTAAAAATGAGTCTACCTCCTGAGAAAAATGATATCTGACACACTATGTCATAGGTCCATAGTTTATTCCATTTTCACTCAGAGGCAAGAAAACACATCAACAGACGCACTTGGGAGATCCCAGTTATCCAGACCGGTAAGACACAACATGGAACAGCAAATGTTGCTTCAAGCACATCCTAGTGTTTCAGCACAACCATGTTTAACTGTTAGTATTACTCACTGTTTCTGAGTCGTCAACACCATTTGAGAATTACTTTTGGCACACACACTTGAAGTTCCAAATTACACCAACAAATCTGTCATGACAAAGTTACTGCATTGATAATCTTTCTATTATGTGTGTTCCCCATGGCTAAAACATCAGTATTCCATGTCCAATTACATAAATCAAGTAACACATATTTTTGGATTGACCAGAGTTGATTGTGGAGAGGTTTTATGTATTGTTTGATGTTTATTGCGCAAGTCATAAATTTTTCCTGATGTTCCATGTTAAAATCATCACTTTTTCATGCATTTCCCACCTATTTTAACCTCTCCTGTTTTCCCCTTTTTACAGTATGGTCTTGTATCCCAGATACAGAGCTACTCCCTAAATTATACTGCTCTGCTTGTGTTATGTTTCATGTTC